TTAGTTAATGCTTAGCATTGAAGAAAAACAGCAAGGTAAGGACATTGGGGATTCCATTTTAGTTAGGGTAGTCAAGGAAGTCTCTTTGAGGAGATAACACTTTTTAAAAACCTAAATGAAATAAAGGAGCAAGCCATCCAAGCATTCTGTTCAGATAGAATGGCAGGTAAAAGACCCTGAGGTAGACACCTGTTTGATGTGTTTGAGGAACAGAAAAGAAGCCACTGTGGCAGGAAGACTGGGCGAGGGGGTCAGAAGAAGAGTTAACTCAAGGAGGTATAGGCAATGTAGAGCTTTACAGGTCATGTTAAGGACTTTAGATTTTATTCTGAAAGAAGCCATCAGAAGGTTTTGAGTAGATGAGTGACAAAATCTGACTTAGGTTTTTAAAAATTACTCTGGAAGCCAGCTGTGGCGGCTCATGCTTGTAGTCCCCCAGCTGTTCAGGAGGCTGAGGTGGGAGGATTGCTTGAGCGCAGAATTTCGAAGTCAGCCTGGGCAACATAGCGAGATCCTGTCTCTAAAAAGAAAATTACTCTGGCTTTTGTATAAAGAAAACACTCTGGAGCTTGACTGATGATAGGGATAACAGCAGGTTCTTTCAGTTATTTCTGACTCTAGGAGGTGGAGGCTTGGATTAGATGGCCAAGTGTTAGCGGTGATAAGTGATAGGTTGTGACCAATGGAATTTACTAAATGGATTGGATGCATAGTGTGAGAAAAAGACGGAAATCATTACCAGTCAACTCAGTGAAACTGTAGGAGGACGATTTGGTAAGTATCCAGATATTTTTAGTAATCAAAATTTTTAGAGGTTTTTTTTTTCCTTTTTTAGTAGGAATTCGTATCGTAGTTTTACCTAACCTTGAGATGTTGCCTGCTGCATATTTAGGAAGGAATAGCTCATCAGGAGAGTTGGTCATTTAGAAATCTCCATTTTTTTCTGAGAAATATGAATGCGGTGAATACTGAAGGAACCTGGAAAAGGGATTGTGCTTTCTGCTGCCTTTTTTGCCATGTCTTTCTTTTACATGTTTGCTTTCTCATAAAAGCAGACCTGCTTACCCATAGAAGGCCTGTGTAATTGTAAGCATCATAATTCAGGCGGTCAAACCATTAAGTACATAGGCTTTAAACGCTTTTTCCAGTCAAAGAATGATTTAACCTGCGACTTTGTGCTTTACAGGACTAGAACTCCAGTTGTTCCCCCTGAAACAAAACAAAACAAACAAACAAACAAAAAATGGATGTGCACTGTCCAAAATTTTCTAAGACCAATTTGTGCAAGGATAATGAGTGTCCAATTTACTGTGGCATGTACACCTGGTTTGGGAAGGTAGTCTGCACAGGAATCCCTTTTCCTGGTAGATTGCTTAGTGATTGTAGAGCCACTGCAAAGACAACTGGATGTTTTTAAGAGAGATTCTTGTCAAGCTGTGCCAGCTGTAAGGTAGGAAACCCTTCTGGTCTTGAGCAATGTGACTGCTGACTAGACCTTAATAGTCAGGTTATTGGAGTTCCTGGACAGTGGTGGAGATAAGTTAACCAAGTTTCTCTTCAAACCTTTTTTTAAATTTACTGTCAGGCTTTCACCTACAGCATCGCCATTCCAGTGCTCTAGTAAACTGCCTCTACTAAGCATTGGTTATTTTCTTTTTTTTTTTTGAGACAGAGTTTCGCTCTTGTTGCCCAGGCTGGAGTGCAATGGCGCAATCTCGGCTCACTGCAACCTCCGCCTCCTGGGTTCAGGCAGTTCTCCTGCCTCAGCCTCCTGAGTAGCTGGGATTACAGGCATGCGCCACCATGCCCAGCTGATTTTTTGTGTTTTTAGTAGAGACGGGGTTTCACCATGTTGACCAGGATGGTCTCGATCTCTTGACCTCGTGATCCACCCGCCTCGGCCTCCCAAAGTGCTGGGATTACAGGCTTGAGCCACCGCACCCGGCCCGCATTGGTTATTTTCTTATGTTCATAAGAAGTGTCCTTTCCTTGATTCTGCTGTATCTTTCTTCCCAAGGAATATTTCCTAAGATGGGTTTTAGCTCTTTGCTCCTAGTCACCAAGATTGTGCTTGGCCTCTGGAAGATTAGGGGTATAAAACACTAACAACCTGAAATACTAAGATGAAGTCCCATCATCTTAATAAAAACTGCCATTGTCACCAACAGTATCTCTTGGTTCTTTGTGGTTATTACCCTTCATAGTGCTAAGCTCTAAAAGCTAATGGATTCTACTTTGTATATCCTTAACTTCTCAAAATGATCTATTTGCTTAAATTCATTTTTTTTTTTTTTAAGACATGGTTTCACTTTGGCATCGCCCAGACTAGAGTGCAGTGGCACAATCTCGGCTCACTGCAGACTCAATTTCCCGGGCTCGAGCAATCCTCCCACCTCAGCCTCCCGAGTAGCTGCGACTACAGGCGCACGCCAACATGCCCAGCTAATTCTGTTATTTTATTTTATTTTTTGTAGAGACAAGGTCTCACTATGTTGCCCAAGACGGTCTTGAACTCCTGGGCTCAAGGGATCTTCCTGCCTTGGCCTCCCAAAGTGTTGGGATTACAGGTGTGAACCACTGTACCCTGCCCTTAAATTCTTTTGAACCCTGTATTTACAGTATTTATAACATTTATATTTTTAAATTCCAATTTTAAAATAATACTTGCTTAGTTTAAAAATCCAAACAAGGCCGGGCGCGGTGGCTCAAGCCTGTAATCCCAGCACTTTGGGAGGCCGAGGCGGGTGGATCACGAGGTCAAGAGATCAAGACCATCCTGGTCAACATGGTGAAAAATACAAAAAATTAGCTGGGCATGGTGGCGCGTGCCTGTAGTCCCAGCTACTCAGGAGGCTGAGGCAGGAGAATTGCCTGAACCCAGGAGGCGGAGGTTGCGGTGAGCCGAGATCACGCCATTGCACTCCAGCCTGGGTAACAAGAGCGAAACTCCGTCTCAAAAAAAAAAAAAAATCCAAATACTATAAATATGCTTAAAATAAGCAAAAAAATTCTATAATTGAGGTTAGACTATATTGTTCTGCAACTTAATTTTTTTCACTTAAGAATAGTGACTGGGTCAGGTGCAGTGGCTCACACTTGTAATCCTAGCACTTTGGGAAGCCGAGGCAGGGAGATCACCTGAAGTCAGGGGTTTGAGACCAGCCTGGCCAACATGGCAAAACCCTGTCTCTACCAAAAAAATACAAAAACTAGCCAGGTGTGATGACAGGTGCCTATAATCCCAGCTACTCGGGAGGCTGAGGCAGGAGAATCACTTGAGCCCAGAAGGCAGAAGTTGCAGTGAGCTGAGATCACGCCACTGCATTCCAGGCTGGGTGACAAAGTGAGACTCTGTCTACAAAAAAAAAAAAGAAAAATGAATGGTTTTTATGTTAACACATATATTTCTACATCTTTTTTGGAGCTTCTCACCATAGTACTTTTTTTTTTTTTTTAAACTAGAATAACCAGCTTAACTTTTTTTTTTAAAGGTTTGTATAATATTCCACTGTATGGAACTATCCTCATTTACTTAACCATTCCCTAGTTTATTTACATTTAGTTTTTTTTACATTTTATTTTATTTACAAATAAGGCTGGATTGAACATTCTTGGGCACTTATATTTCTGAACTTGAGCAAGTGTTTTTATAGGATAGGGCCCTAAAAAAGTGAAACTGATTGGTCAAAGATTAGGTACATATAAAATTTTGCTAGCTGCTGCCAAATTGCCCTCTAGAAAGGTTAAACCAATTTATGAAACTTGACATTTCGAGAAATTGTATGTGTTTCCCATCTACCTAATAAAGAAATTGTCCACACCATTAATATAGTTCTGAATGCACTGAAATATAATGGTGTATGTCTTTCCTACTAGATTGGTACTTCTTTGGGGATAGGAACCATGAATTTCTAAACTTTAGTTGAGCATCCCATTGTTTGCTTAAATAGACCCTGGGGATACAAAAATGAAGGTACTGTCTTTGTCCATAAATGGCTCACAGCCTAGTAAAGGAATCCACAGTCTTATCTATATTCATGCTCTTTACTACAGTGCCTAGAATATGGTATGTACCCTATAAATCATTAATGTATAACTAAAAGTGTTTTTCTTTGTCTGAAAGCTATTTGGCAGAACTTCTTAATTTTATCAAATGAGCCAATGGGTGGTTTTGAAATATGAACTCATTTTCTATTTTAGGCATTGCCTATTGGAAGAAGGAAGGTGTTGTCTTAAGTCTACACCCCGTGGCTGTTATTTGATTGCTGCTGTTAATAAACATAACATTTTTTCATTTTCTCTGAATATACAATATACATAAATGGAAGGAGGGTGAGCCATTGGGAGCTTTACTCTACCATTAAGCATTTCTTTAAAGGCTACCTCACATTTGCACTTAGGTCACAAAGCTTCTGTAACTAGGGTGAACCACTATCCTTGAGAAGGTGGAACCTGGGACCTTGGGATATGAGGGCAGAGCCTTGGACCCCAGCATGCTATGTTTAGGACATTTGGCCTCTTACTAATCCCACTCAGCTGTGTTCCTCCTTTTCTTCTGTGTTTCTTCAGCACTTATATATTCAGTTTGCACTGTATTAATTTGCACTTGTTTGCATGTTGCTTTGTAAGTATTTTAAGGGCGTTTTTTTTTTTTTCCTCTCACATATGTATTGTTTTGTGTCCCCAGCTAAAGTACAAACTTTTTGAAGGCAGAAACCATGTCTTTGGTTTCTTTTGTATTTTCCATAGCACCTTGTACTGTGAGAGTGGGCACACAGTATATGTTGTGGAATGACATCCTGAGTGATCCCTCCCTGGCTGGGCCTCAGATTAAATTCCCTGAAATGGAACAGTCCTAACCAACCCAGGACAGGTATTCTCAATCTGGCATGTTGGTTGCTCCTTTCAGCCTGCTATTTGAAATGGCTCCCTTCAGCATCTTACTGTCCCCACAGTGGGGCTTGCCATGGCTGAGGATGTACTTGCTGTATGTGTTCCAGGCGAGTCTGCGGACACCAGAACTGACCTGGGAGCGAGTGAGATCTCAAGTTGACCATGTGATATGGCCTGATGGCAAGAGGATAGTACTGCTGGCAGAGGTAAGGCTGAGACTGGCAAAAAAATGCTCCCCGACAACAGGAGGGACTGCAGTACCCAGGTCCCCTCCTCCTCATGTTCTCTCATACTTTCAGCTCCTCTGTTAAGTACAAGTTTGACTACTTTCCCAATGGATTTTACTTCTAATTGTGAAAGATCTTTTCATTCAGCAATTAAGAAACTATTTTGGTTCCCCACTTTACACCAATTATCTCGTCTCTCCATGTCAATCTACAGGTTGAGTCAGATAATGATTATTACTGTAGAAGGAATTCACAGATAGAACCAGTGCCACTTTGAGTGATGCTTATGAAGAGATAATGTCATTTGTGGGATGGTTTAATCAGTAAGCACAAAGTAGATATCCCCAACTGTAACCAGGACTATCTTAGGCAAGCTCTCGGAAAGTATATTTTTACTGATAGATTCCCTGTTTTTGAATGTCCATTCCCTTGAATTGAGCCAGATGTGTAGTAGGTACCTACCAAGATATCAATTGCTCAATTGATATTTCCCCATCCTGGCTCCTAGCTCACATTGACACTATTGACTTTCATTTCACTTGGGTTTCATGTCAATGTTTGACTACTTTTCCTTAAAAGCTCCTCTTCCCTAGTCCTGGATTCCTGACAGCTATGATGATGCCTTCTATTCTTACCTTGAAGCTTTCTCTTCTTCAGAGAAAGATACCAAAATAACAAGGAGGATAATAATACTTTTCTCAATTTTGATTTTCAGTCAGTTTTTTTCTTTTTTTATATTAAAGAACCTGAATATGAAAATGTAAAAGATAAACTGTCTTTATCTAGGGACCCAGAAGTTAGGGGTTTTTAGTATCCTTACTGTTCTCTTCACCTTTTCCTCACTTTATCTTATCTTCTCCGATACTTTAGGGCATTTGTAAAGGGACTGAACTATTTCTTCACGAGGAAGGAGTATACATGAGGAGGAGATGGGCAGATTGCCAAATATGCATTAGTAGCTTTAATGTCAGTCTGCTGCCTGGTGACTGACTTCTAGCTGCCCTAGGAGGTCCCACCTGGTAATTTTGGTGACAAAAGCAAGTACCATGGGTGTTTTTGGCTATATGGTTGAGCAAAAAGGTGGTCAGGCTTCTTAAGAAACAAAATAGGAAAGGCTGGCATTGGGGGCAGTTTCTAGTTCTTCTGCTGTCTGAATCACCAGCTCAAAATACAAGGCTGACAAGGCTGTCTTTGAATTCAGAAGAAACTAACTGAAGGAGAAGCACAAAAATCATCACAGCTATGGTAAAACGCCATCTCTACTAAAAAAAAAAATACAAAAGTTAGCCGGGCATGGTGACACATGCCCGTGGTCCCAGCCACTTGGGAGGCTGAGGCAGGAGAATTGCCTGAACCCAAGAGGCAGAGGTTATAGTGAGTCAAGATCATGCCACTGAATTCCATCCTGGGCAACGGAAGGAGACTCCATCCCCCCAAAAATATCATCACAGCTTTCTAAATCCAAAGATATCTCCCTTCACAACCTGGAGAGATTGTCCCCGGATTTGAGTGATCATTGTTTATTTCAGAATAGTCTTCCAAAGGAATGCTGATCCTCAGAAGGGGAGGATATTTTGCTATAGAGAGTGGAAAGTTCAAGAGAAATACACCGATATTTGGCATAAGCTTCAGTGTCATATGACCATCTGTATTCCTTTTAAATAATTCCAGAAATCTTTTAGCTATTAGTTTCGTCAAATTTTCCAGAATTTTAGTAGTTTCATTTAAATGTCAGTTGGTTAGTTCTTATATATTGAACAGCTGCTTTTTTTCCAGCAATGTTAGTTGGGAAGTGCTTGGAAAATGGCAGTCATGCTTCTCTTCCCTCACTTCTCAAAGGCCAGCGACTTGGTCCTAATCCATTTGTGTCTTCGCCTTTGATCACTAGGGCCGCCTGCTGAACCTAAGCTGCTCCACAGTGCCTACATTTGTGCTGTCAATCACTGCTACTACTCAGGTAAGGCTTCCAGAGTGGGACAGCAGTAGTCTGGAGAGGGTCCTCAGACCAACCGGGTTTCACTTTCTTGGGTAAATTGCCGTGAATGGCACATCAGCATCCATCTCTCTGCTTTTCTAGGCGCTTGCCTTGATAGAGCTTTACAATGCTCCTGAGGGTCGCTATAAACAGGATGTCTACCTGTTGCCCAAGAAAATGGGTAAGTATTTGCTCTTCCATCTCCATCCTTACCAAAGTAGTTCAGAGTCTGAGGCTAAAGGAAGTTGGGGGCATTAACTTTCTTAAGAATAGGGGGATAAAAAGGTATCTTCATCTTGTAAAGTAGGAGTTAGGATTCCTAGGTTCCAGTCCCAGTTGATTTATCCCATTTTCTTTTTATTTGTTTTATTTAATTTTATTTATTTATTTATTTTGAGACGGGGTCTCGCTCTGTCACCAGGCTGGAGTACAGTGACCATGATCTTAGTTCACTGCAACCTCCACCTCCCGGGTTCAAGCAATTGCCCTGCCTCAGCCTCCAGAGTATCTGGAACTACAGGCATGTGCCACCATACCTGGCTGATTTTTTTTTTGTCTTTTAGTAGGACAGGGTTTCACCATGTTGGCCAGGGTGGTCTCGATCTCCTGGCCTGGTGATCCACCTGCCTCGGCCTCCCGGAGTGCTGGGATTATAGGCCTGAGCCACCACGCCCAGCCTTTATCTCATTTTCTACATGTGTTGCCCCAGCAAAGATGTGACATTTTGCTGTGATTTAGTTTACCTCCCTATGAATTTTAAGGATTTATTTCTCTTAAAGTATCTTTATTTGGGAATCTCAAAGGAGGAAAAAAAAAACTCCCTTAAAAAAGAATCATCTTCTACCTTGTGACATCTGACTTATTCCAATGCTAGGCTGCCATATAGCCCCTACCAAACTTTTCTCAGACCACACAAGACTTTCCTACCACACCTTCCAACACCAGTCCCAATGCTTCAGCCAAAGGAGAGATGTGGAATAGAAGCTATTTAGTTACATGGTGTTTTGTATAAGAGAAACATTAACCTGTCTTAAATTTTTAAAGAGCCTACCTCAAGCACCTGAACTGATACAGTGTGTTTATAAACTCCTCAGGCAAAGATCAAGTAAAAAATCAGCTTCTGGTTTTGTTTTTCTTTAGCGCTAGGTGTATAACAACTGTTAAAAGTTGTTAGATTTTCCCTTTAGTAGACACTTCAGAAGGATATAAAAGCAACAGCACAGTCCATATTCTGACAGAATGTATAATGAATTTGGTAGACCAAATACATAGGAAATGACATAAGATTATGAATAAGTACTATGTGGTCAGATAATAGAATGTGAACAGAAACCCATAAGAATTAAGACTACTCAACGCAAAGCAAACACTTCATTTATCCCATTTATCTTTTAAGGGAGTATCCTTCTTAGTTTTTCCATTCAAGTTTCCCCAGGCATTAGTTTTTCTAAATGACCCAAAGTATAGAGTGTAAGGCAAAACTAAAGTTGGAGCTTCCCATTATTTAGTTCCCACATTATCCTATTCCTTCTTTTAGATCCTGATGCCTGTTGTTTCTTTCATTTTTCCCGTACTTTTCTGGATGGCAAGGTTCAAAGCTGAAAGAGTTAGTAAGGATGAATTGTTAAGGCTTTGGAAAGTACTGGGCTTGAAGCTGAAGGCAGCTATTCCTTAGAATTGAGGACCAGTGAGTAAAGGTTGGACATTTTTTATTCAGCTCCAGGAATTAGAAGGTGTCCGAACTTTTTAAGGCCTAGCTTGGGGAGAACAGTTATCAGATAAAAGGCATGAATGCTTATACCAGGGCTTCTGTGGTCTGTTCCAGATGAATATGTGGCCAGTCTACACCTGCCTACCTTTGATGCCCACTTGACAGAGCTGACAGATGAACAGGCCAAGTATCTGGGACTCAACAAGAATGGGCCCTTCAAGCCTAATTACTACAGGTGCCTTGGGCTCCCCAGAAATCAGGGACACCTGGGCAGTGACGAGTTTCCTGAACTGGAATTGATCTTTGCATCCCCAACCACATATGCTTACATGAGCTCAGAAAAATGAACCCACTTCCCCTCACTACCACCCCTAAAAGACTCTTCAAGGCCTTAAATAGTATTCCCCTTCCTGAATTTGCCTTTTGGAGATAGAGAGGTGGAGCTTGGGTAAGTGGCTATTTGCCTCATTAAATAAAGTTCCCCTTCCTTAATTCCTTTCCCCATTTCATCTTCTTGCTATGATTTTTATCTCTTTATGGAGAAATATTGGCCTTTTTCAATGACATGAAAAGGAGACACATACACCTTCTGTAACCATACACTCCAGAAAAGTCTCTGCTTCCCTGTTATACCTTTAGGCAAGCTCTTCATGCCCCAGCATCCCCATTAGCTGATAACATCACAGTCTCATCTTTCTTTTTCCCTCCAGGTATTAAGTTCCTGTAACTCAAACCAGAAGTTTTAAGGAATAGAACTTCAAGCCTTTTCTCCACTACTATATAAGAAGGAATTCAGCAAGCTGCTTCTCTAATCACAGCTGCCTGCCGTGCTCACCCTGTGTGTTTGGTTATTTATTTATTAAAATCAAGAATCCTGTGCCTGTAGCATTGGCCCAGAGTGTGGTTACTGCCCTGAGGGCCATGAGAGAGCCACAGAGGATGGACTGATGAGGGAAAGACATGGGGTAACTGCTCCCAGTGCATCATTCACATCATTCCCCATTGACTGAATCCTCAGGAGTGGCCATTTTTCCTCTTGTCCAGGCTCATGAGTTAGTCCAGGGATTCCATACTTCTCATTCCCTGGAGTTTTCTGGAATAAATTTTCAGCACCTGCCTTTCTCAGCTTTGGCCCTTCCCCAGGTGAGGCCGTTTGAAATTAACATGGCCAGTGTTTCACACAAGATTGGGTTCGCAATCTTGACCATCACTATCACTGCCTTCTTTATATAAAGGCTAATAAGGAAGGAATGTTATTTATGGCTTTGCTAAGCTATGTCAGGAACTCAGCTGTGCTGTGCCTACCAGGGGTCTCCTTTCTTACCTTGGACTCCTTTCTTCTCTTTGAATATTTATGTCCATTTTAACACTTTCTCGTTGCAAGAGGGATGTGCCTCCGTTATTTCCTCCACAGTTTTGGTATTTGTCAGACATTTGTTCTGCTGTCTTTCTAATCCAGCCAACCTCTGCTCAGGAAGTGGGGCCAGCTCCACTGGGACCCATAGTTTTACTTCCTTGTCATTTAATTGGATAGTTTCCAAGGAAGCCCCTCCAGATTGTCACTATCTCAGAAAAGGAGAGCTTGTTGTGAAACACTGCTTCCTGAAAGTTCCTGCTATTGCCTAACCCTACGTCTGAAACTGAGTAGGGAAAGGCATACTTTTCCAGGGAGACTCACAGCTTGATACCCCAACAAAGCAGAGCATATTTACTTGTTTCCTAAGAAGGCCATTGCAGCTTGACTGTCTAAGGGATACAGAGATGAAATCGTAAACTGTATCCAGATTATCAAAGCTAATTTGAAGAGTTTGAACCTCATCAGACATTCATTCCTTTGGCCATTGCTATGGATGAAACCGAGATCTGCAATCTGATCTGTGGTCTTCTCTGCTGGCATGTATTTTATGATTTAACTTCTTCCATTTGAGGATTCTCTATTTCAGAGGCAGTTTCTTGAGTAACTCCAGTGTTACAAAAAGAATTAGTAATGTGGTATGGGCAGCATGATATTTTATGTCCCATCCAAAAATTGGATTCCTTTTGGAGACTGATCTGCTGGTCTCAAGGGTTTCATTGGGACCAGATTGGTTAAAGAGTTAAAGTCTGGAGTGGTCCTAGAAACTTGAATTAAATAAGCCTCTTCCCCTTGCCGATCCTATTCAACACTCTCAGGTTGGTTTGTTCCCCACTTTTTTCCTATGCTGGTCTGCCTAAAAGTCTCAAGACCAAGATGACTCAAGGAAACACCAGACCACCCATGATCACTATAACCTTCCTATCCTGATTCTCTCTTCTACCTCCACCCTCTCCAGCTTCTCCTGGTCTTCACATATATTCTCAGAGCTAGTCTGAAAGTGACCTTACTTTTGGAAGTAGGGAAGTGGAACTTTGGTAAATGACTCTTTGTCTCATTAAATAGTATACAGGCTCAGCCCATAGACTACAGTTCTTCAGAGGCCATATGTGTTAGCAAGTACTGGTTATATTCTTTTTTTATAAGGAAGATCATAAATGCTAAAAATTCCCACTGAGCCATTCAGTTCTTCCTTTTGCCTACCTAGGCCTATTTTTTATATTAATTGGGTCCCTTTAGCAAGAGATTCAGATTGTTGTACCTTATCTTATATCCAGAGTAGATTCCATTTGGCAGATATATGGTCTCTAGCCTATTGTATTCTTAGCCCCAAAATCATAACCTGCTGTTTCTCAGCAAAGGCTTGCTCTCTGGAACTTACTATGTGCTGGTACTTAAAGAATACACTCTGCCTTGCTGTAGTGAAGAGACCCACTCCAAATAAAAAGGAGCCACACTGGACTTCTGAGTTAGGTTGCCAGTGTTGCTGCCCATGATGAGATATTTGCCTCTGAGTTTCAGATGACCTCTCTTCTTTGTAGGAACCTGTGCCATCAACCATTAAAAAGAAAGAGCCACAGGCCTCCCAAGTATTTGGGCTCTATCTTAGTGTTGGAATCTGGTCATTATTCCCTCTGCCCTTGGAATCAGGGCAATGTGTCATCTTTCCTCAAGCCTCTTACCTTAGATGCATCCCAGTTATCTGGAAGCATGGGAAAGAAGGCTAATTATCTCTTTGTATGTGGCTCCAGTCTGTGAGGTTACATACCATTTTCTCTACAATGAATTTGTGCTAGTTTTTTGCCTTCTTTCTTTTCTTTTCCCCATTAGAGACAGGGTTTCACTATGTTGCTCAGGCTGGTCTCAAACTCCTGGGCTCAAGCAATCCTCCTGCTTCAGCTTCCTGAGTAGCTAGAACCACCAGTGTGTGCTACCATGCCTGGCCCTTTTTTGCCTTTTTCATGGAGATATTCAGTTTTCTTTTCTTTTCCTTTCTTTTTTTTTTTTTTTTTTTTTTTCATTTAACAACAACAAAAATGTATCTAATCTACCTTCCCTCTGCTGTCTTCCCTCCCCATCCTACTTGCCCATATGAGCGCGGCTCCCCGTGGCCACATACTCCTGCAAAGCTTTTTTGCTGCTTGGCTTTTCTCTGAACAGATCTGATATTGCTGCTCCTGTGGTTTTCTCAAAATTAACTTTGTGATGGTTTTTAAAAAAGGAATCAAATGCATCATTGCATTAAGCTTTTTCAATAAAGGAAAATTACAGAAGGAAAATAGGCAACACCAGCAAATTATATGTGGACAAGTTCTAAACTATATATATACATATATATACACGTAATCATCTAGTTCTGTCATCTTACTGAAAGGAATAAAACTTCTAAGGATCACCATTTCTGAGAAGTTCTTGGAAATCTTTATGTCTAAGTGATTGTATTAGATCAGCAATAATGACTGTGTAATCTTGAAAAACAAATAAAATATTCCTAACATGGACTTTTAAGGGTCTTTCTTGTTTCTGTGAACTTAGGAATTCAGAGATGAGCGAGATCTCTGGGTAACAAACTAGAGATCCTGCTGTAGGGCAAGGATGTGAAAATGTTGCCAAAAGACATGTTTGAATGACCTTAGGCTTGTTAATATCCTGTTCCCCTCCTCCCTGCCAGCACACACACTCATCTGCCTTCTCAGGTTAAAGAACTTACCTTCTCAGAACCACCACCCTGGGGAGCTGAGGACTGTAGGCTTCAGACAGAGAAACTAAACCATAGTTCTAGGTCCCTGACTCCCTTCGTGTGCTGCCCTTAGTTGAAAAGCGCAGGAAATCGGCATCCCCAAATTTGGGACCAAAGGACTCTGACAACTAGGACCTGATTATATCCAGACTGCCTATTCTTTCTCAACTGCTAGTAGGGTAACCGTCTTTGGGTAGCTTTCTGATAGCCAACTTCTTTAGTTGACAACCTAAACTAGTTCTGCATCCTATATGCAAGATGTTTTCTTACCATAGCAGAATCTTCTGCCACTTTGGCTTCTGATTATTTAGATTAAGGGCCACAGGGTTAGAATAGTCTGGGCAGTTGGTAATCCTCAAAATCAATGCCATTCCAGTTAAGAGGAGGAGAACACAGCAGCTAGCGATGAAGCTGGTGGGTCAGCTGAAAGGATTTTGCTCCCCTGCAGCAGGGCTTGACTCCTCATTTGTGATGGAATCTTGGGTGCCTGGGTCTTCATTTCAGAATCATGGGATAAGCCCAAGCTGTCCACTGCAGCACAAGTTTCTCCACCTCACAGTATTGTGGAAAAGAGCTTGAACTTTGAAGCAGGCTAACTTGGGTTTGAATCTCAGCTCTGCCATTTACAAGTTATGTAACAGCCAAATTACATAACCACCCACAGCCTCAATTTTCTTGCCTGTGAAATGGATACTGCTTATCTCCTAGGGTAAGGATTTAATGAACTGATGTATAACAAGTGCTGCTTATTTACAGAGCCTGGCATGCACTGCTGACTGCATACACATCATTTCTTGTCTCAACCTAGAGCCCTACAACCTCCGTTGCGTCATTACACCCACACGTGCCCTTTATGGAGAGAGGAGGGTGTTCTATCCTTTTTTTTACTAAATTATCCTAACTGCCTGATAGCCTCAAAAAGCAGGTACTTCAAGACTTCCTACATCTTATGAAGCTTTCTCAGTGCCAGGTTCTATCCATTTAGTCAAGTATCTGAACTCTGTAGATTAAAGTGGAGTGCCTATATGGGGAAAAGGGTGTATGTGGTCCTTGTAACTAAACCTATTTATTACCGCCAACCCCCTGCTGGCAGCCTGAGTTTTGGGACAAGGGAAATTGGTAATGTAGGTTTTTTAATAACTTCAAATATAAAAATAACAGCATTGGAGCCATCTCTGCAAGATGGAGAGATTTGACCAGCCTTGACTAATTAGTTCTCAGGTTTGGATGACTCTGTGGTCAATGGTATTGATGGCTGTCACACCTTTGTTGACAAATAAGCTAAAAGAAATTGAGTGTGTGCCAATTCCATGGCCTATAGTTTCAAAGTTTGCAGTTACTCTATGGTTTTTTGTTACATCCTCCCGTTGTTTCCAGACATCTTCCTCTTTATAAGAAGTTCTGAACATCTGGCCCTATAATGAGCACATGAGTGTCTGATCTTAGAAAAGGTCTATTCCACTGAGATGTGGAAAAGGTCATGGATTGAGGTCTCTCCTCGTGTTGACTCCACATCTTCATAGCACCAGTTTTACACATTCATTCTCTGAAATTAAAGCCAAATGGAGCTCTAGGCTTAGCAAGTGGCTTTAGGTAGACACCAGAGGGGGCTTGCGAGCTGTCCTCTATCCTACTCTCAAGATCAGCCTGCCCTTCCCCCTAGGAATAGGCAGGAAAAGGAATAAAGTGTCAAAACTGGCCACTCCTGTCTGCCACCACTGTTGGGATCCTGCTGATTGAGTAGGCTCACAAAAGAATATGAAGTTCTGGGCACATTAACCGTAGGGCTCTGACTAGGAGGAGAAGAAGTACTGGGAAGAAGAGGTAAAATAATGAATTCTTTTTATTAAGAAACCCCAATGGGCTGTGCTGTGGCAGGTTTACCACACTGAAGCAGTGATGAGCAAGGCGTGGGTTGTGAATCTTAAAGCAGAGTGTAAATTTTTAAGAGTTTAACAAATTATACCCTGAAAAAAATCCAAAGTCAAGTAGTTTAGGCCTTGAGCCAGGGACTTTCTTGGAAATTCATATCAATTCAATTCTGTAAACTGACCCCCCCCCCCAGGACATTTTCCAGTATCTGGAGACATTTTGGTTGTCACACTAGGGAGACTAGTGAAGAGAGGCTAGATATTCTGCTAAGCATCCTACAATGCACAGGACAGCCCCCTACAATAAGTATTTAGCCCCAGTTGTCAATAGAATAGAGACTGTGAAACCCTGCATTAAACGTACATAAATTAGGCATACAAAAATGAGCTAGATTTGTTCTTACTCTCAAGGAGCCTATATGTGGGTGGTGAGTGGGACTGGAAGAGGAAAGGGAATATGGGTGGGTACAGTGAGGAGGTATTGGGGATCAGGGAGAGAAAACCCAAAAAGCTCCAAAGAGTGCTCTTAAACTTGCTCTTTCACCTACAAACTGACAAAGGGAAACGTGAGAGAGATGGTAAGAAAGGGATAGAGTTGTCTCTAAGATATGGGAATGTGGAGTAATTCCTTTAGGCCCCTTGCTTTGGGTATATAGTGGAAAATGTTAGGATTTTGGTTCCAGGCAGAACTGGCTTGACACCAACATAGCCTGAGTGAGTTGAGGGCCAAAGGAAAGCTTTGTGGAGAAGGAGGTGATAACTAACTAGAGTCTTTATGGGAGAAAAGGAATCAACCAGGGGAACAGAAGACAACCTCCTCCAGAGAACAGCACGGGAAAGACCCTGAGACAAGACAGAATATGATACCTTGGGAACTGCAGGGAGGATCTGCAAGTGCCGGTTTCCTCATCAGTAACACTGGATTCGTAAAAATACCCTCTCGGGGAGTATCATGTGATATCTGGAAAGCGCCTACTGCAGTTCCTGGCACCAAGCACAACCCCCCAGACCCTTCCTAAAGCGACCAGGCTGGGGAGAGTGATTTGGTTCCACCCGTTCCCCGGAGCCTAGGTCTTTGGGGCTTCTATTACCAAGCCAGACTGTCTACATATTTACTACAAGCTGCTTTTTAAATTCAGGGGAGAGCAGATCAAACAGCCTCTTTTGCCTCCAGTAACACTGAGCCCTTAGGAAGCCTCTTAGAAAAGAGAGGAAGGAAAGAAAGGACTGGCGAGCGGGTGAGGGTGGGGACTTGCTCTCCACTCAGCATTTGCTGCCCAGCTCACACCATGAGGAAGAGGCCCCTACAGCAGAAAGGGCAGATGACAGGAGCAGCCCCGAGGCCACCAGCAATTTCAGTGATGGAAAAACGTCCCCATCCCACCCCTTGACCCCTTCTCCCAGCCGAACCCTCGCTCCGGGAGAGATGCGTTCTCTTCAGAGAAACACAGAATTCTCAGCTTCCCGACACAGCGAGTCCCTCGTTTCGGGCGGTGTCCCTGGCCACTTCGTGGTGCCATCCCTCCCCCGCGACTAAGCGGGATGTGGGACGCGTGCAGAAGCCGGGATTTGGGGGTCCAGGTCGATGATGTTAGGGAAACAGACTGCGGTGGAGCAGGAGGCGGAGACTAGAGCTACGGAAAAGGTCGCTACAGGGGGCGGGGGTGAATGCTGTGAGATACCGAGTGAGGAGCACAGAGATAACCCGCCGGAGCTCAAGGGCCCGCATTCCGCGGGTGTGAAGCCTGGAGCTAACCTAGGAGTCTCCCGCTGCCAGCAGTGCCGCAGGACTGAAAAGATCCCCCCAAATCTCTTCAATGAGCCCCCACCTCCTCGAGTCCCGCTCCGGCCGGTGGAGCAGCCAATCGCCTCGCGGGGCGGGGCTGCGGCGAGCAGCTGTAGCCAATAGTGGCGGAGGAGGCGGGCCTGGCTCCCGGCGCGCGGCTGTGGGGTCGCCCCGGGCAGAGCGAGCTGAACCCTGAGGGGAGCCGCTGACCAGCTGCATGGAGGACCTCGCCGCGCCTGGGAACGGAGTCCCGCCAGCCAGTGGCAATGGCAACGGCAGCGGCAAAGGGAAGCAGGCGGCGCCCAAGGGCCGCGAAGCGTTCCGAAGCCAGCGGCGGGAGTCAGAGGTGAGGAGCCCCAGACCTTCGATTGGGGCCCGGAGACGCCTGCGGGCGGGAAGCGGCGGCTGAGGCGATTCGGCCTTGGCCCGGGAGCCCTCGGCGCGCTTCGTGAGCCCCGCGCAGTGTGCGCCTGCGGGGTCCTCGCTGCTGGACACTGGGCTCTGCGGCCCCGACCCTTGTCCGCACGTCTCCTGCCGCGGGTTGGGGTCTTTCTAGCCCTGTGGCCTCCCCCCGCTGCACGAAGGTGAGGGCGACATTGAGCGGACCAAATACTTTACAAATATTTGTCTCACTTAATCGCTGCAGCTCCTTGAAACAGAATTTCCAATCCCAGTTTATAGATGGGGGAACGGGAGCGGAGAGGTTAAGTGACTGGCTTGAGGGGCGGGAGGCCGGAGCTCAGCTGCGGGAAGGCCGGGTTGGCGAGTGGGCAGCCGCTCTCCCCCTCCCAGGCTGCCTGCGGCGGGCCCCGGGGCCGATCCGCATGGGCCGGGGGACTTCTGCCCGTCGCCTGCTCGCCGCCTTCTCCCCGTAAGTCTTAGGCCATTTAGGGAGCGCCTTCCGCGGACATCAGGCCCCCTGCCTGTGAGGGCTGAGCGAGACGGGATTCAGCAGTCCAGCAGAGGCTACCTGGCGGGAGCAGTCCCAGCATACAGACAGGAGTAAGAATATTTCCATCTCTTCCTCCTCTCCTGAAAAGAAGAAATCCTATCTAGGAAGATGAAAGCATCGAATTATGAACACTCCCCTACCCCCTAATCTAGGCAGTTTCTATCAGTTGGACCTGAGCGGGGATCAGAATAGACGACAAAATGTCACATGTGGCGGGGTCTGCGGAGATCATCTGGTATAGCCCTTTCATTTTACAGACCTAAAAGGAACAGGAATGACTTGCCAAAGATCAGACATCTGGCACAGTTTGCGGTCAGGAACACCAGGCTTTGGAGTCAGTCAGACCAGGTTTTGAATCTCAGCCCTACCATTTACTACCTGTGTGATTACCGAACCCCTCTGAGTTCCAGTTTCTTCATCTGTAAAATGAAATTAACACTGCCTGCCTCAGAAGGTTGTGATAAAATAAAAATGAGATAATTGACTACAAACTTTTTGGCACGGTGCAGCCACAATGCATGTAATTGGTCAGTACATAGTAGCTCCTAGTATATTATTGTCATCATCCTCATCATCAAGTGGTAGAGCTGGTTCTAGAAGCCAGGTCTTTGGCAGCCCAGATCTTGCCTTACCATTTGAATAGCATTTCAGTTTCCAAAGTGATTTCATGTATGCTTCCCATTTTGATGTAGGCAGAGTAGGAGGAATCCATTCTTTTTTTTTTTTTTTTTTTTTTTAAGGTAGAAGTGGAGGTAAAAAGACAAGCTCAAAGTCATCACCTTGCAGAGGCAGAGCGCAGCCCTCCTGTCTTGCTAGATTATATCCACCACATCATCTCCCTCCCTACCTCAAGATGAGTCTGGTCTTTTAGGGCACCCTGGACCTCCTTCCCCCACAAAGACATTGTTCTCGCTCAAATGCTTTTTGGGGAGATGAGCCATTCATTAATACAACAATTATTTATTGAGGACTTTCTATCTGCCAGCCACTGTTTTAGGTGGTAGGGATACATCAGGGAAGAAGATAGGGTCTTTGGCTGTAGAGAGACAAATTGTGAGTAAATAAAATAATTTCAGAATGATATGTTCTATGGGGGGAATAAAAGTCTCTTCCTGGGTGTCCCTTCTAAAGTTGCAATCTGTTCCCCACCTGTCAAGCCTTCTTCAGGCAAAGCCTCTGATAGTATGGTCTTTTGCCAGTACTTTGCAGTGTCCAGAGACTCAAAAGCTTTCCACCTGCGCTGCAGTTTACCTGCTGATCGTCTGCAGCTGCACTCTTCATGCCTGGAAATGAACAACTGCAGCTATCATCTCTGTCTGGGCTCATTGCCCGCCAAAACCCTGGCTGGAAAGATTAGCTTTCCTCTACCTTCTGCTGTAGCAGAACTCCTTTTACCTGCCAGTACATCCTCTATCACCACAGTACCCAGATTCGAGATCTGCTTTTCTTTTCTCCCTCTTTTTGCTTTCCTGTGGAAGGCAGCCCTTAGAGAAGATAGGTTTTTGTTTTTGTTTTTTTTTTTTTTCTTCCTCTCTCTAGGGCTTTTAGAAAATCACTAGAAGAGAATTACTGTGGCACAAGTCAAGAGAGCCTCGTCATGTATCACTGTTTATGGGAGCACTGTTGACCTACCTTCTCCCAGTGGCTTAGTGTGTGAACATCCCAACCTAAAAAGGAAGCTAAAGCAATTGTTTGCTTAATAAGAAGAGTCCTAACCTAACAAAAGGATTCACCTCAGGCCTCTTTTAACCTGATCTAGTTTATTGATCTCAAACTCCTTGACAAAGTTTTAACTAGTCTGTGGTAAAATGCAGAAAATTCAGGTCATCAAAGTGAGTTTTTATAAAAATTTAGTTTAATATATTAAATTTAAGGAGATACACAATTTAAAACAATGTTTTTGAAACTGCTATAGGGTGCAGCATGTTAATTGAGGCTAAAATTTTTATTTTAAGAAATAAAATAACCCAGCATGATGAATCATGCTTATTATCGCAACACTTTGGGAGGCTAAGGCAGGAGGATAGCTTCGGCTCAGGGATTCGAGACCAGCCTGAGAAATGTAGGCAGACCCTGTCTCTACAAAAAATAAAAAACAAGAAAAATTTAGCCAGGCATGGTGGTGCACATCTGTTGTCCCAGCTGCTCGGGAGGCTGAAGCGGGAGAATCACTTGAGTCTAGGAGGTTGAGGCTGCAGTGAGCTGTGATTGTGCCATTGCACTCTAGCCTGGGTGAGAGGAAGACCCTCTCTTTAAAAAAAAAGAAAGAAAATAATAGAAAAATCAGTGCATCACATGCAGTAAAGATAAATATTTTGTTAAAAATGTGTTCCAGATTTTGTGTGCGTGTAAATGTATCATTTTTCCAAAAAGTTTGAAAAGCAGTTTGTAATGACTATTCTTTATTCTGAGATTCTGTCCTTCATTTTGGGGGTTTAAATGATTCTTTTTTGAATTTAAAAAAAAATTTTTTAAGTCCTTACCCATCAGAATAAAACAGCAACAACGCTATGTCATTTCCCACTCTCCACCTTTTTCTTTTTCCCTACTGTTCTCTATAATCCAAAAGTTTAGAAGTCTTTGCCATAGTGTATTTAAACATGGTTTGCCTTGTTGACAGTATAAATTGGCATGTTTTGGGGAAGCAACTTGTCATATACAAAGAGCCTTAAAAATGTTCATAAGATTTGATTCATTTGTTTTCTTTATAAAAAAAAAATCTATGCTTAGGAGATATCCTAAATATAGAAAAAAGTATAATTCTACAACAGTTTCATGCATATAATAAAGGAAAATTAAAAATAATTAAAATATTCAACAATAAGGAACTGGTTAAGTAAACCAATAAATGTACATCCATTTATACAACCATTTAAACTAATAGTAATATGAGAAGAATGCCTTTATAATATAATATTAAAATCATAAATAGAATAACCACCCACATAGTGTTACGAAGTGCTGGGCGGTATGCTAAGTGCCTTTCCTGTATTAGCTCATTTAGTCCTTACAATAACCCTGTGAAGTAAGTCCTGTTATTATCCTCATTTTACAGATGGGAAAATCGAGCAGGTCATTTTCCAACAATTTCCTGACACCAACTGGATGTCCTACAATTCATTTCAATTCAAACACTAACTACCTAGAATTAGCACAGACCTCACAAGTTAAGGGCTCAGTCCTACAAGGCCCCGCTTTGGGTGCCAGCCATAGATGGGGTCCCCAAGCTATTCACACTTCGGCCTGGCCAACTACAAATTAAGTGGTTATCATGATCCTCCCTTCAGATTCCATAATTTGCTAGAATAACTTACAGAATCCAGGAAAGCATGTACTTATGACTGTAATTTTACACTAAAGGATACAACTCAGGAACAGCCAGATGGAACAGATGCATAGGACGAGGTGTGGGGCTGGGTGGTGCCGAGCTTCCATAGCCTCCCTGGGCACCACTCTCCTAGCACATCTGTTTGTTCCCCAACCCAAAAGCTGCCTGAACCTAGTTGTTTCTGGGTTTTCATATGGTGTTTCATTACCTAGGCATGATTAAACTATTGACCACATGACTGGACTTAATCTGTAGTACCCCTCCCCTCCCTGAACATGGGGCTGGTGATGAAAATTAAAACCTTTAATCATGTGCTTGGTCTTTCCTAACATAAGTCACCTCATGAGCATAAATTGTGGTAAAGCTGACAGTGACTCATTATGAATAGCTGACATTCCTATCACTCAGGAACTTCTAAGAGTTTCAGGAGCTCTGTACCATATTTTTTATGTCACACTGAGGCACAGAGAGGTTAACTTATCCAAGATCAAAAAGTATGTGACAGAGCTGAGACTGAGAGTTTTAAAAATTCACAATATTAACGTATACTGGAAGGAAATATACCAAAATGCTTAAATAAGTTAGAAGGTGGGATTAATTAAAATATATTTAATAGGATTATAAATTTATACATACAACATCATAGGAAATCTAATCTCTACTACAATTTGGAGTGGAGATGTTGTGTTATTTGACAATCCTAAAGTTGTGGAATATTAGAGCTAAAGAATCTCATTTTAAGAATGAGGAACTATGATCCACAACATGAGACTTGACCTATATCATACAGTGGGTTGATGACAGAACTGAAGCTAGAATCCAGTTAATCTTTATTTCTGTCTGTCTCGATTTTATATAAATTAGCTAGATGCTCCTGTAGTCTGTGTTCATGTAGATTAGATGTGGACATAGACTGTAGCTTTCATATGTGTTTGAGATCTGGGCCCTTTATTCAGACTTTCTGATTTGGATAGGAATCCTTAGCCCCTTCACTGAGCCTCAAGTTTTGGCTTGACAAAGGGTACCTCTGAGATGAAAGACCCAAATAGTACTCTCTTAACTGACTCTCTGGTCTAATCTTGGCCTCCATGAGGGGAAAAAGATAAATAAGGGTACAATCTTCCCTTGGTAACCCCTTTTCCCAGGTTATCTCAGTTACTAACAAAATTTCTCTGTTACAGGGCTCTGTAGACTGTCCCACTCTGGAGTTCGAGTATGGAGATGCAGATGGGCATGCAGCAGAGTTGTCAGGTATGAGGTAGATGGGTCAGTAGCTAGTAGAAGAATGTCCAGGAGGAGAGGGAAGGGGACTGTGATCTCCCTGGAAGCTTGTCTGTTCTCACCAAGTGGCTATTGAACAAAAGCTGTTCTCCACATTCCTTTTTCTCACCACCCCAGAGTAGTAAAAATCTCTTTGTCTTCACATTTCCTTCTGTGACTCTCCTTGGCTATAGTATTCTTCATTCTGTCATGCTATCACTCTTTCCTGCTCACTCTTCTTTATTCTCTTTGAAAATAACTGATTTGATACACTCTCAAATCAGTTTTCTCTCCATCTTCTCCCTATTCTTCCTCTCTTTTCTTCCTGTCACCCATATCTTTGCCCGCCTCCTTCTGCTGCCCTCTTTCTCTCCCATGCCATCTCTTTTTTCTTTGTCTCCTCTACCTCCATCTTTTCCTTCTTCCCTCGCCTCTGCCCCTTATTAAAATCTCAGTAAAGTCTGAGGAAAAAACTCTATAGTCAACTGGCCAGCTGAGCAAGGCTGGACATGTCACCTGCATCCATTATAGTGGAGTTCTGCTTGGATGTTTATGAACTGAGGTTAAGTGATTCCATTCTTCTTTTAGTGATGGACTGCTTCTCTCTGTCTGGATTTTTAGCTTAGGGTAAACATGATCTCATCACATTAAGTGCCTCCATGTAACATGTGCTGTGAATGCCAGTTATTAATAAATGAGCTTTGGGTGGAGATGGTGTGAAAGTTAAATATTCTGTCACATGGAAGTGACACTTTGAGACATGCTTTTTCAGAGAAAAGAGACAAACACTTTTAAAGAAGTTTTTGTGCATAAGCACAGGGAATAAATTTTGTGATGAGTGACAGGGAAATAGAGAGCTAAGTTTTATAACCAGCAAAGGATTAGAATTCATAATGGGAATATGATATATATATGAGAGGAGAGAGATGAACAACCCAATAGAGAAGTGGGCAAAGAATATAATAAATGGGAATTTATAGAAGAAAAAGCCAAATGGTCAATAACTACATGAAAAGACGTTGAACTTTATTAGTAAATGGGGAAAAGGAAATTAAAAGAATAAAATATTATTTCACAATCATGAGGTTGCAAAACTTAAAAGCCTGGGGTTGGTGAGGGTGCAGAGAAATTAGTACTTTTATGCACTGCTAGACATGGGAGAGCAGAGTATAAAATTGAAAAGCAGTTTGCTTATATCTTGTAGAGTTGAAAATGTGCACATATTATGACCCAACAAATCTACTCCTAGATATCCACTCTAAAGAAAATTACACTTGGGCACAAGAAAATGTAGAAAGATATTTATTGCAGCCTTGTTTATCAGTTTAAAAAGTTGGAAAGCAACCTACAATGCCCATCAGTAGGGAAATGGATAAACTATAGCTATTAGTGCAGTAGGCTATTGAATAGCCATTTAAATAATTGATCTAAATCAAGATATTTCTTCTTCTTTTTAGAGACATGGTCTGACCAATATGGTGAAATCCCGTCTCTACTAAAAATATAAAAATTAGCCAGGCATCGTGGCATGTGCCTGTAGTCCTAGCTACTTGGAAGGCTGAGACAAGAGAATTGCCTGAACGCGGGAAGCAGAGGTTGCAGTTAAGCCAAGATCACACCACTGCACTCCAGCCTAGGTGACACAGCCAGACTCCATCTAAAAAAAAATAATAATAATAAATGCTAAAGACAAAACTGGGAGAAAAGAGCAGTAACAAGAATTTATACAATATGATACTGCTTGGATAAAAAAAATTTTAAACAGAGCAATATCATATGTTTACAGGCACCTATGCATATAGTAAAAGTAGAAAAATAGGCATGTGAAGGATACACACCAATTTCATTATAGCAGTGTCCTCTGGAGAAGGGAATAAGATCGACTGAGAGCAGTCTGAAGCATATATAACAAATGCTAACATTTTTACCTGCGTAGAAGATAGTACACAGGTGTCTTAAATGTACTATTCTGTACTTACCTTACCTGTATATGAAAATTCATGATCTAAAATTTAAAAATAAAAAGAATAAAACTAAAGTTCGGTACCTAATAGCCTTGCTCACTTTTCTGATTGGGCTTGTAGTGCTTTACTCTAAAGATACATATATTCACCTCCTCCACTAAAGACTGAAGAATTTAAAATTCAGAGATGGGATTTGCCTCTGGTCACGCCTGGTTTCTGGAGCTCAGGACTCAAAAGCCCTGACTTCCAGACAGGGTGTTTCTCAACCATTAGACAGCTGGCTGGAACATAAGTGAATTTCTCTTGCTTTGTGAATTACCTGTGACCTAGTTAAATTTCCAGGAAGGGTCTCAGGTAGGGAGCAGAGATTTAAAGGAAATCTGTTCTATCATCTGTTGACTTCTCTATTTCAGTTCTTCATCTTCTGTAAGATGAGGGTGTGTATGTGTGTGTGTGTGTATATATATATATATATATATATAGAGAGAGAGAGAGAGAGAGAGAGAGTGTATGTGTGTGTGTGTGTGTGTGTGTGTGTAGGAAAGGACATTATTTTTATTTCTTTTTAACAGACAGAGTCTCATTCTGTTACCCCAGACTGGAGTGCAGTGACATGATCATAGCTTACTAAAGCCTCAAACTTCTAAGCTCAAACGATCCTTCCACCTCAGCCTCCCAAGTAACTAGGACTTGGAGGCTGATCCCAGCCTGATCTAGTAAAAGGCATGTGCCACTACACCTGGCTAATGTTTAAACTTTTTGTAGAGATGGGGTCATGCTATGTCGCCCAGACTAGTTTCAAACTCCTGGCCTCAAGCAATCCTCCTGCCTCAGCCTCCCAAAGTGCTGGGATTATAATCCTATCAGTGTCAGCCACCACACATGGCCAGCATTTTTATTTCTCATAAGCTTTCTGCATTTTGTACTGAGAGGCTGCTGCTAGCAAAGTTAGATTTTCCTGGGTACAGCAGCCCTTTGGCAATCATAGCTGTTCTCTAGGTGTTTTTTTGTAGCATCTGCCTAGTGGCTGTAGGCAGGAATCTAAACTTCTATACCCTTTGAGGAAACAGCAGGGAGAGAATGAACTGGCTCCAATCCTGAAGAGCCATCCAGCAGTTACTTTTCAGCCCTTGCCCTGGTTTCCTGGAACAGCACAAGGATCTTTCCTCTGAGTTTCAGGAGTTGTGTTGCCCTCCTCTTCCCTTAGAGATAGGATAGTTCCTGGTCGGGTTGACAAAGCAGGAGTCATAACTCTGAGAAACAGGAGTGGTGAGATTAAGCTCTCTGTGCTCCAATCCTCCTCCTGGCCTCACCAAATGTTGAAGGCTGTCTTCTCTGCTGCAGCAGCCAGCTGGCAGGAGGAGGACAGGTTTGATGGTTTAATCACCCAGGGACACAAGCAGCTATTTTTAACTGCTCTGAAAAGGAGGAAGCTGGCTTTGGATTGAATTGGACACAGGAATGTGTTAGAAGCTTCAGCTCTTTCATGCCACCCTCTCTACCTTGGGCCTCTTCTTTAAGGATCTCCTGAATGTGACTGTTATGTTCTTTCCTGCCACAGAATTGTATAGTTACACTGAGAGCCTGGAATTCACCAATAACAGGAGATGCTTTGAAGAAGATTTCAAGACTCAAGGTAATTCCAGATCTTTACTCACAGAAACCTGCTTTTTCCTTCTATGATATCCCAGCCTGATCTAGTAAAAGGCTAAAACAAAGTATGATCCTTCATCCTCTCTGTATTAGTTAGGGTTCTCTTAGAGGGACAGAACTAATAGGATAGATAAACATATATGTATAAAGGGGAGTTTATTAAGTATTAAGTTACACAATCACAAGTTCACACAATATGCTGTCTGCAAGCTGAGGAGCAAGGAGAGCTAGTCTGAGTCCCAAAACTCAAGAACTTGGAGTCCGATGTTCAAGGGTGGGAAGCATCCAGCACGAGAGAAAGATGTGAGCTGGGAGGCTGGGCCCGTCTCTCCTTTTCGTGTTTTTCTGCCTGTTTTATGCTTGCTGTCAGCTGATTAGAGTGTGCCCACCAGATTAAGGATGGATCTGCCTTCCCCAGCCCACTGACTCAAATGTTAATCTCTTTTTGCAACACCCTCACAGACACACCCAGGACCAATACTTTGTATCCTTCAATCCAATCAAGTTGACACTCAGTATTAACCATCACAAGTCCACCCCTTGTCAACTTGAACTCATACTTATCTCTTGAGAGCATGCATACATAATCTTCAAATAAAGACAATCATAAGGTCATAATTACATCTAACATA